CAGACTGTTCTTTCCAGTCTTGAATACTCGACCATCGATGTCTCACTTTATGTTATTAATTGCCAAGATGTGGTAAATATCCGTCTTGACTAACTTTAGTTAGAGAGGATCCATTCCTTTGCTCATATCGTTTCTTTGCTAAAATAATCGACACGAATAGTTGAACTAATAAACACAGAAAGATTCTTATGGACGGTGGCGTTTGCCCCCTCCCAAGAAACTTTTTGTTCTAGTCTTCATAAAAACGGTGCAAATGATGTTAAAGTTAAAATGTATTTGTACATTATATATAAATATATGTGTATACTTATATATTGTATTTTTTAAAATTAAGTTCAAATAAAGGAGCATAAGAAGTAAAAAAGGAAAATTATAAAAATTGTTGTTTAATTTTTCCTTGTTCCTTGGTTTGAAAGTTCTCTTCAATTGAATAGTCTGTGGTTCTTTTTATCGAATTATTAACATCCACCTGAAACTTCGTAAATAGCTTCACTCATAATAACCTACAACTATTTTATTTACGGAAACTCTTGGAATTGGGGCATTTTCAATCTGGTGGGGGCAAACTTTGATAATTTAATTAGGTACTAAAAACTTGTATGCACATTTGTTTCCTACTTGGATCGTAAGATAATTTTATAACAAAATCCAGAAAAAAGGTGACTTCCAAAAATATTGAGGCATTTGGCGTGGCCTACTCCCCCAGATTTTCAAAATAAAGACAAATGGCCCAATATTTTTGTAGGCCATCTTTTTTATTGATTTTGTGATCAAATTATCTTACGATCCAAGTAGGAAGCAAATGAGTATTTACGAGTTTTTTATTATCTAATTAAATGCACAAAGTTTGTCCCCCCTCCAGATTGAAAACGCCCCAATTGCATGAGTTTTCGTAAATAAAATAGTTGTAGGTTACGATAAGATGAAACTATTTACGAAGTTTCAGGCGTATGTTAATCATTCGATTAAAAAGGGTCTGTACCACGGACTAGAAATCCTACAAAAATATGGTTCTCCCCGAAAATTCATAACCACATAAAAATGAACCTCTCTTAAAAAAAATTGGCGCACCTTGCACACCACTGTAGAAAGAAATGTACTCATTTAAGTAATGCAGAATAATTTCACAATAATTTACTCTAAATGAACTAGATCTTAAGCCGGGAGTTGTTGGATGCTATTTGATTGGTGTGCAATTTAAGATATATTTTATGAAGTATATTTAATAAAAAAATAAAGAAAAAGTTACTATAAAAATTAAGTAATGCTTCCTACAAATGATTCTGAATAAGATTCATGGGATATTTGGTTACTTAGTTTTTCTGTCCCGATGTTTCATGTCTCTTACCATTCTCTTCGCTCCTGAAGCCCAACGCTGTTGGTTACCTACTCTAGGACTGTTCCGATCAAATGTTTTGTGCTGTTGACCATTAGAGTTAGAGTTCAATGTTAATCAAGGCATTAATATATGCTTTAGGAACATAGTTCCCTGATCAGTTCTTATAACATGCATTCCTACAATCGTCCCTAGCAGCACAAATCGTAAACAATGTTAATATCTATTCTATTGTGATTCATTTTTATATATTTTATTATTTGTTACATTAATAAAATAAAAAGGTCCCTTTTCCATCAAAATAAATTTTCCTATATCGAAGGTTCCATTTAAATATGTCCCAACTATTTATGAATGCACTTCATGTATCAATGTATTACAAATATATTTAATTGACAAAGATACATACAATGAAACAAAATACAGGACAAGAGTGGAGGGGGCGGGAAACGACCCGGCCGGCCTTGTTAAGGACTTCCGCCTAACCTGGTCCTCTCTAACCTCCTTTCACCAGCGCTGACTCACCGGCCACTGCCTTCCAGATAAGACATACTACAGCTGATTTCTTAACAACATCCTACGCAGATTAATCTTAATTATCCACGGGCCTAAGTTTTATTACTTGTTTTCGTCTCGTCTGATGGCAGGGGATCCTTTTACTAGGACTTTTACTTTCGAAACGGACACTCACCTATTGGTGGCCCCACTACAACGGCTCAATATGGAATGCAGTGTGCCATTATACAACGCAAGGCCGGGAAATGTGATGGTCATAACCTGCGTCGTTTATTTAGCTGCGTAACTATGGAGTTACTTCATCCAAGAATTTTTCGATCAGGTATCGCATTCCTATTAATTAACTCCGAGGATAAGATCGATGCTTGTTCCTGATATTCATACGGTACAATATTCAGACAGTACAATATTCAGACATTGTTTATTTTTTTTTTGCACCTCTTTTGGAATGCAACATTGTTATAATAGTCAATCTAAATCTATAAGTTTGATCAATAAACCTAAGAGTTGGATAAATGATATAACAACTTTTCAACCTTGGAAATTTCTTATGCCATAAATTTCTTTTCTCCTTAACTCCTCTCCCTCATCCTCCCGTGCGAGGCATTAACAAACAATCAAATTTTACAGAGAACAAACTCAAGTCAAAAGGTTTTTAGTTATATAGCAAATTCAATGGGTTGATGATATAATATATGAGTATGTAAGACTGTTAAATGCTACAAGAGTAATCGAATAAATATTATTCATGCAGAATGGGTAGAGACCACCTGAATCATTTTCAAGATAAATAATTGTGATTAACATAATTCCTCATTTAATATCTTATTGTTAAAATGGAATGTAGTCTGAGTTATACATTAATGAACGTTGCCTACTAATATCACTATGATTGTCTATAAATATTATATCTGAAATACTGTAGTAATTAATTTTTATCAGCATACTTTTGTGAAGTACACAACAAATAGATAGATATTACAAAGAATACATTTGAAAAAGGGCAACGTAGTTGTAAAATATAATTTCTATTTTTTTTGTGTAATCCGGCCTCGATATTTATTAATGTTAATAGCTTTAATAGAAACAATTAAATATTAATACGTTGCTCATAACAAAAGATATATTTCCTTTTTTATTATACATCACAAAGAGGAACGCTGACGACATTTTTCTATCTATCATCACACTACCTCTACAACGAAAACACCTTTATAGTGTTATTATAAAATATTATAGTTAAACACCTTGGTGTCTCAGTTCTAAATGGTCAAACTCGGAGAGGTGGGTTTATTCTAGTCAAAATGTCGAACAAATATTTTTTTTTTGTGTTTTGCCACGGTTTTATTGATTTTTTTTCAAAGATTATTCAAAATAATTAAATTCTAAGGAGACAATTTTTTTTTTTGAGGAAACAGTGATTAAATTTAGTATGGTTAATGATATAAGGGACTTTAGATTTAATAAGGTCAACGATAACGGGACTTTTCCAAGAGATCTAATACGGCCGCTGTATTGCTGCAGTCGTAGTATCCATATCCGAGTTCCATATTTATGTAATCCGGATTCACGAAAAAATTGGCGTAACTGTAGGTTTTTCCGTTAATAGACCTCCTCAAAGTCCTTTTATCTTTGACTTTACGATAGTGTACTGTCAAAATTTAATTATCTTGAACGGTTATTGAGCAATTCTTTGTTCATTAAAAATACGTGACCATCTCAAGAAAAACACATAATTGGTCTTAATTCATTTTTCGTTCGGAAATCGCCCATACATCAAATGAAATTTTTTGTTAGGAATTTGGTCTAGAATTATTCTTCTGAGTTTGGTCATTAAGAACTCTGTATAGATAGTAACATGAACAGGCCTACTAGTGGTTTCAAAAAAATAGTTTTCGTTCTTTGGCTGTTATACGCAACATCTTTGAAGTATTTTATTTTCTTAATAACCTTTTTGGATATTCACATTTCAATATCGATATAAATAATATTAGATACAAAATTCTTATTTATGCAACATCCCTGCTCGATACCACGCATAATTAGCTGCCTCCAGTCTTAACAAGAACTCAAGCTATTTCTCAGTCAACTCCTTTGACCCTTCAACACAATTAACTTTTTAGGGATTCTTTCATTATAAAGCCCAACTGCTTGTGCATACCCAACCAATGTGTTCTATGCTATTATTTCAAATATATCTACAGGATACATGCCTATCAATCTCGCGATATTTAGTCCCTAAATAACATAATACCATATTTTCAAGTTGTTCATAAAACATAATTAGTTGGGAGAATTTCGATTTACACCTTACGTTTTAGTATTATTATTTTTAATATTATTTATTGTAATATTATTTCGAATTATGAAGGTAGATTCGTTCATGCTCAAGCCACCGCAGCGTAACTCTGAAATTCGCGCACAATGTCTTGCAAATCAGAGAACAGTTTCAAAATGTGGACTTAGGTTAGATAAGTGACGGTAATGGCTGATTACTAAAGCGGTGCGTGGAGAGACACGTGCGGCCAGGGACACAGGAAAACATTAATAACAAATCAGGAGATGCAGCGATGATGCCGCTTCCCCATCATCATTCATAGTCCCCGCTCTCATCTCTTTCATTCCTCATTCATCAAAATTAGCCTCGCTTCCTACTACTGTATGCGGCGTAATAGATTACAGTAGTTTGGTAGAGGCAGAGGTTAGATTTGGTAAGGATTTATTTTGGATTCGGAATGGATCAATTAATCTCGCTTGTTCAACTGAAAAGTATTTCAAGTTGTGTTAAACATTTTTTAATTTTGTTTAGTTTTACACTATGGGCGTAAAGCTATCGTCTAAGCTATCACATCAAATTGAAACAAACCATTAAAGCTGAGAATATTGTAAGGTCAATTTCCACAATCTTATTCTTCATCTGAAATTTCTTTCAGGCCTTTAGGTAACCTAAAGAAAAGTCACTAATGATACCAGTGACAAAATGTTATTCTCTTCCTCCTACGTCCCCAAACATTTCTTAACGCTACATATTATGAACTATGATTGTAAAAAATTGAAAAAGACAATGGCTATTTAAAAAAATAATAATACACTGTACGAAGAACACAGTTTTTAATATTGCCCCATTGCCCCTGCTCGCTGAGGGACATTATTCTTCTTCTAGAGGTATTATCAATGGATGAAGAATGAGAAACCCTTTGTCGGTTGAAACCCTTGGGTCTTCTTCCAGGTGATAAATTAACATCGCTTCTGGGGCTAATGGACTTGAAAAACCTGCCTGGCTTTGTCGAGGAAGGCAATCAGGTTCACCCGTCACAGGTTCTGGCTTCCAGGAAACCGTATGGACCAGTCGAAGAAGCCTATGCATTAGTCTGCCTAAGGTCCAGGTTTATGTGGATATAATTAGATTGAGAGTCATTTAATAATTGTATCTACAAGTTTTTAATTCTTTGGAGTTAGAGGGAGGGGGAAACCCGTTCCAGGCCTAACGAATAAATATCACTTGTTTGTAGAGTACCTGTTACGTGGACGTCTTCATAATTTAAAACCGTAACGTAACGCATGAGCTAAAGACAGGAAGCCGTTACAGAAAATGAAAGTCAATTGGGTTGGTCTGTGAACTGCATTTTAATTTTGTTTTCCTTCTTTGAAGAATATATTATGCCTCTTATGTTGAGTAGAGCGTCAATCAATAAATTAATGAGTCCTTAATGTTTGTATTACTGCCTTTAATTAGATCTTTGTCCTGGTTTGAATCTTTTATTAGTACTCTTTTGTTAGATAGAGTACAGTTGTTTTAAAGAGATCAGAATCAATTTTTTTTTTTTATCTTTTATAGTTTTCACCTTCAAAGTGGTCAGAATAGACATCTAGAATATTAGATCTTATTTATTTTTAATCATTGTTTTTCAACTATAAACAGAAAAAGAAAAAAAAGAAGAAGAAGAATGACAGTTTCTTGTTCATGATGTTTTATAAGTCCTGCATATGGATACATTTTATTTATCTGTTCCTATTGATTCAGTGGTCATTTTGGTTGTGCAGTGAGACGTAGTTTGGAAGTATGTTTTAGACTACTTCAGCAGCCTACTTGGGCTGTTTTAGTTTTTGTTCCCTGCTTATTGCTTCGCTATATTTCGAACGGGAAGCATTGTTTGTGGACTCGATCACGCACAACCTCGTCCAGGGATAGGACCAAGGCGACAAATGTTTGTGACGAACGTGCGAGCTTGTAACCCGCCTTCAGCCCGCTACTGACTAAACATTTTTCTCAGCTTTTGGTGGGAAAAAATACTTTTATTTATTTTTTTAATAGAGGCAATATCATATATATTTTAACACTGCTCCTAGATAAAAACAAATAAAATAAATCCATTTCATACTTTTTTTTTCTTTAATTTTTTTTTATACTAAAATATTTTACGTTTTTTTTTTACTAGTTTTTTTTCCTTATGTTTAAACAAAATACGTATACATTAAGCTGAGTATATTAATTGAATGAAGATAATTTTCAGTATGATATCATTGTGTATCCGATCGATCAAATTGGATGGACGAGATGAAAAATATTACGTTACGTAATCCAGTAAATTGATTAGATTATTATAGGGGAATTTCTTTATCATTATTTAACTGTTAAATGCGGTAATTATTCAATTTAATGTATTTATTTTATAATGCGTAACAGCTAATTTCATTTATTTTTCTTGTAATTAAGATCTTTATTTGTGATTTTGAAAATTATGGACTTGCTCACGTTTAAAGAAGTTCGTGAAATCAGTTTAGAATTTGGCATTTTAATGTACGCTATTACACAAGTACTATTAATTTGCCGGCTCTCAGGAGTTTAACGGAGAAGTGACGAATCCCATTTTTGATTTTTAAATTTCTACAAATTTAATAAAAAGGTATTAAAAAAAATTGGTAGGTTTTAAAACTCAGATGGCTTCCTGTGTCTTAAAGCCACAAAATGTACCGTTCTTTCGAGATTTATTTCGATATCGACCATGATTTATTTGTTATTTTATTAGACCATAATAACGATATGATTGACTTTCTTTATAATATGTTTAGGTTTGAAAAATTAAAATATTCTACTCATGGTAGTCTTCGACGAAATAAAAATGTATTAAAGAGGTAAATGGGGAAGAACAGTTCTGAAGTCTTTAAGTCAACTCGTTTTATAGGAGGCAAATATTTTGAAATTTTAATAAATAAGAAAACAATTCAGGTATGGCTTCTATACTCTCTATGATAAACCTCTACGTAATGGTCAATAATGGATTATTATATTTTTAAATTCAGCTGTGAAGGGATGGTTGAGGGGTATTTTCCGGCGGGAGAAGCCAATCCCGTATTAAGCAAATTAATACTTTAACAATCGTCGCAAAATATGAAGATTCACTGATACGTTATGTTGAATAGAGACTATCTTGGTAATATTACATTGTATGTATGAATAAACATATTTCGCAGATATCATTTATAATATGTCCAATTAAGGAGGAGGATAAGTATCCAATGTGATATTGCCGGCCTTAGGGCGGGGCTACCGGGACAATTGCCCCTGGGCTCCGACCTGGAAGGGAGCTTTTTGGGGGCGCCGGTCAAACTTCAGGAGCGTTCGCCACTGGTTAAAAATTAAAATAAAATAAACAAAATAGGACCTGCTTTGACAAGTCTTATAGTCAAAAAATTAAAGATAGAAAAAAATAACATCATGAAGTTATTCCATTAATGTTAATATTTTGAGTTGTTATATCTGAACTTCATTTGAGGTTCTCAACTTGACATGAAAGGACGCTGCGAACTTCTCGAAGAAGAGTTCCAGATGATCTATTTTTTTGCTGTCTGGGAGGAATAGCTCGTTCCCTCCAGCTGTTATAAGATGCTCAAGTTTAATTTCTTCTTTACGTTTATGTTCTGTTATGGTATGTTCTGATATTTTATGATTTTATTATATCAGTCAAAAACGGTTAGGATTTAATTCAAAATAATAAATTATAATACAACGGAACATCGTTGTCACTGATTATAATTTATTTTGTTACAAATTAGTTAGAAAACGTCCGAAAGACAATCTATTCTAGAAGAATAACCTAACTATAGCTACAAATCCTTTTCGTGTCCATGATACTGATGCAATAATAGAAAGGTTATTTTCATCTATTTAAAAAGTAATCTACAAGAGAAGCCTGGACTTCTAGGTAGCCTTTAAGGTATTTATACTTCGAGTTTACGAAAGGTCACCGATCATTCTTCAGATATGATAATCACTACTTTGTATACAGTGGAGTGTCGATTATCCGGAGTAATCAATGCTGGTTCTGGTACGGATAATGTATAACAAAATAAAAATAAATAAGTTGTGGAATACATTTAAATATCTTCGTTGTCATTATTTGAATATAATAGTGTTAATTAATAATTTGACGGAATTTAATTGAAGCTAACCAATCTTTATCGTACATGTTTTAAGTAAACTCAAGTTAACGTTAAATGACCCCGGAAATTGTAAAGTTTCAATTTTTGTCACAAAACTAGTTTCATTCTACATTTCAATCTACATTGATCACAAATTGTAGTTTTATTCTTAACTTTTTTCAAATAAACATATTTTTTTTTTTTTTTATAAATTTCCTTTTTTTCTTCCTTTTTCCATTGAACTACCTTTAGATGGTTCTTTTAACAATTGACAATAATAATTTAATTAATTTATTAACTTCTTTCTAATGACTCAAACAGTACTGCTATACATATCAGTATCAGTACTGATTGATTGCGACATGTACCTGATATACCTGCCGGTACCCTAACATCCAGTTGCGTCTGGTTGAGGCCCCAGATTTGGCCCTGGTCTTGGCTCAAATTCTGTTTGGTTCTCCCATTATTTTTTTTTCGGTCTCCTGCCAGCCAGTAGCAATGACTCACCCAGCCGAGGTTCTGTTATTAGTCTGTCTATTTTCAATCTGAGCCCTTGCAGCGAAACTGAGATGGCCGTCTTATGGTTTTTACTTTCGTTTTGCTTTCGATGAGGATTGGCAAGGTGTAACAACGATTATTTTTAAGTTGCACCATTCGATGCTTACTTAAGACTTAACCTTTTACTAAATTCATCAAAAGAATAGAATATACCTAATCATGAATATATTTTTTTTTTAACAAAAATGAAATTTTGATTTTTCGCCATTCGTTGATTTCAATAAATTACCATGCATTTTTAAATATAAGAATTTTATATTATTTTTATTTTAAATTCCTGTAGATTTTTGTTTATCAAGACATATATTGCAAAGTTCGTATTTTACTTTCTATATCTTTGTTAACAAATCATGCAAATTATTATGGATAAAGAAAAAAATTAATTTGAGAAAAAAATAATAAAGATTGGTAGTTATCAGAGGTATTAATAATTACAAACCAAATAGCACTAATTTCTATAATATAAAATATTAATTAATTAATGTACTTAAGAGTGTTTGAAATCATGTGCGTTACGTTTTACTTATAATATTAGATTATTTATGGTACATTCAATTTCAATTATGAGAGTTTCAATAAAATTAATATAAAAATTAACAAATATTTTTAATGTCTTTTTGGCTATTTTTGCTATGTATTTTTTAATATTGTTGGTCATGACTAGAATACTGTTTCTAATAATATGAAAAACACATTGATTCCTTTTTCTTTCACCCAACGTTTTAGCCCTATTCAAGGGAAGATAAATTTAAAAAATAAAACATCATAGACTGATTATAGATCAAAATAATTATTTTTAAAATAATATTTTTTATTATCTATTTATAAACGTTACATAAAAAAATAATTGGGCTAATTTGCCTCTGTCACATTCTTTTATGTAATACAGTTTTTTAAAGACACGATTTCGATATGAATCAGCTATTCATTGGTATTTTTTATTAATTTACAGATAGACACTAATCTTGATGTTCTGGCACAAAAATAATTTCAAAAAGTGAACTTTTTATACTTGGTGGATTAAATAAAAATGTCGGTTTTAATAAAACAGGAATATCATATTATTAATTAAAATTTAATTTTTTTTTCTAAAATCCTTAGATATTATTTATCAAGGTAATCGTATTAGTGTAAATAAATTTATTTGAAAAAAAATAAAACAAATTAATATATATTTAATGATGATTAATTGTATAACTTGGCCAGTTTTGTTTACTTACTATGATATCAGTTCAATTTAACTATACCAGAACCTTATTGAGAAATAGTTATTAGCTAGAGTAATAAGAGTTTAAACCGAAAGAAAGATATTATTGTTTACTTTATCAAGGAATGGACATGTTATGGATAGGTTTTTTGCCAGAGCTAGGTTGTTTTAGGTAATTC